TATATATATATATATATATATATATAAAAGGGTGTGGAGGAAATGAAGGAAAGAATTCCCATTTCAGTGTGTGTCATGTCCAATGAAAGCAGAGGGATGGAACCAAGCTGCAGTTTTCCATTCCTGTCAATGAGTCAGAAAATGCAGCAAGCCCGGGCAGAATCACATGACTGCGTTAGTGCACCATATGATGGATTCGCTTCTGTACCACTGCATTAGAAAATAAGTGTCTGTAGCTGATGTGGTTTACACCTTTAGGGTTAGCCAACAACAAAGGGCTGGGGTCTTTTTCTTTGTTTTGCTTAACAAGGCAAATTTTATTGTTAGCAGATGATAAAACCTCAATTTTTCCACCAATTGAAAAAGCAACAGCTCATTTATGAATTCAAGAATAATAAATGTCTGGTTACCTGTTCTGCCTTCAGGGTCAGTTCAATAAAAATCTGCTGTAGTTTTTCATTAACAAAGTTGATGCAGAACTGTTCAAAACCATTTTTCTACAGAAAAGGAAACAATTTAAAAATTAGTCTCGAGCTTTATATACAATAATTCTTAGTTCTTATGCTGGCAATAAGCTTCAAAGAAATATTGTCAATGATGGATGGGTTGCTGACTTTATAGACATTCCCTGTAATCTCAAATTTTTCTTTTAAGATCTATGACCTAGTTTCCTTTGAAGTTTCTTCAATAGTTCATGTTTATTAAGTGAGACATTACCAGTGAGAACTCAATGTCCAGGAAGCTGGGTTGGGTTTTTTTTGCATTTTTTCTGGCCACAGGATTTGGGTTTTTTCTGTTTCGGACTTTTTCCCCTCTAAATAACAAAAAACTCTTCTAGGTCAGATCAGCTCAAACCCTGAATATTGCATTGCCTTACCTGGAATATTTCAAAGCCATAAATATCAAGGACACCAATGTTATATTCTTCATGATCCTTCTCCATAGCCTTATTAATAGACTAATAAAACAGAAACAAAATGTAAAACAAAGTGTAGTTTACGTATTTAAAAGATATATTCACATCCTTAAATCTTTACACAAAATACTGGGTTTCTTCAAAAAGAACATATTAGAACGGAATACAAACATATGATGTAATAGGGTATTTTACCTTCACTTTTTAATAAAGTGTTATTAACAGCTAGGAAATGAACAGCATACTCTGCTCTTTTCCAGGTTAGCGAGCCTTTGGATCTACTGTTTGTAAAAAATTTTCCCCTCTGGTGTAACTGGCTCAGCTAAAGCAAAAGAGCTGACAAAAAAAGAACAGCTTTAAGACTTGATGCATTTTGCAGACGGTACCATGACTCTTTTCATCTTTTTCTGTGTTGCCCTACTGTGCAGTGTCAGTGCTGGACACACACAGTGGGAGGTACAGAGCTGTCGTGATGAGGGAGCCTTCCGAGACACTAGCAGCGCCACCACGGAGGAGACTTCTGCTTCCCCTAGCCAGCATCTGTGGCCAAAGTTAAGGTTTCTAACCCGCCAGTCCAGCCCAGGAGCTCACACGGAACAAGAGTGCGTCAGCACGGAGAACAGAATTTGACCATTTGCTCAACTGCCGCAACATCGGGAAGCTGAAGGGGTTCTTTGCAGCACGGTGGGGTAAGACAGCAGGGGACCATAACCCACTAATTCTGGGGGTCACTATGTAGGGGAACGAAAGACTCCGAGAAGCACGGATGCTGACAGGAAGGAGATGTCCCAGTGTCACGTGGGACAGTTGTGGCGGGAGACTGAGGAAATACAGTGCTGAAAGCACAGCTCATTTTCTTCAAAGTGTAGCGTCTGTCACATCATTAGTGCCTTCTATTTGATACCTCTGCTCGTGCTCCCACTGCCCTGCTCAGCGCTGCTGCTAAGGTTTAGGCAAAGAAACACACTGGGTGAAAGAAATGACAGACAAGAAGAGCACTGCAAGGAACGCTCCTAGTGTACTTGTACATGTTTTGGTATTCAGCAGAACCAACCAAATCCAACTTACATCCACCAAGTAATCAAAAACCCGGGAATGGAGGGCCTTGGCCAGCGCATCCCTGGTGTAGCAGGCCTGTTCCACGTTGAGCGTGACATTAATGGACTCGGATTTGCCTCCCCACTTGCTGTCCATCTGTCTGCTGGTCAGTTTGTCCTTTAGGCGGTCCTGGTTAATGCCCAGGAGAAAAGCGGGGAAAGCCAAAACTGCAAGAAAGATCAAGGTTACCGGATTATGACTTACAGACTAAACCAATACAGAACAAAGGGGAAAAAAATTAGCTGTAATAAACCTCATGGGGGCATGCAGCTTAAAAAGAGGAGGGAGTTAGGTCTTTAAAATCTCCCTAAGATCCCCAAGGACATTTTCAGCTCTTTACATACATGGATTTCAACTAAGATAAACCACCTTTAAGTAAAATAGTCAGCTATTTCTGTACCTTCAGTCCTTCAAACACGTAAACTGGCTTTGGTCATAGTTTTGAACTATGTGGTTCAAACAAATCACTCTTGGAGGAGATGGAAATAAAACATAGAGCTCACACATTAAATAAAATCAACAGCATTGAAAATTCTTTGTAAAGACATAAAATGCTTAAAGTGTCATAAAGAATATGCTATCTGCTTCCTAATATTCTTTCCCTTTCTTCTTTTAAGTTAGGATATTGCAAAAAGTTTTCAATTGCCTTGCCACTTATTTAGGTTTGGTTTTTTCATCCCTTATTCTGCAAGTACTTGGCAAATTCTGGTTTCTCTTGTTCAAAAGTAAAGCAGAAAAATACATCTGTGCAACAGGCAGCCACAAGCCTAGTATTCCTTGCGTTCTTAGCGCGTGGTGCCGAACTTAGCTGCAGGTGCCACGCACCTTAAGGAACGGAAAAAGAGAAACGGCTTGAAAGCATACGGGAATAGCTCCCGTGGGCAGCTCTTGGGAGTCGGCACCGCGCCTCCGCTAAATCGCATAATCCTCTGATAGCGTTTCCTCCATGTTCCATTGCTTTCACATCTACTTTACTGGCGTGATGAGGATGTAAAATAATCACTAAGGCAGCAGTCACTTGTGCTTCACGCATCTGTAGTGTCACAGCATGATTTCGCTAAACCCTTCCGTGCATTAATGCAAAATTATTTTTAAAATGGCAAATAACTGCCAGCTTTCTGAAATCTTATTTATTACGATCAGCAAGCTCAGTAAATTTACCCTAGGGTACTAGGAACCACGCGGCTACCCAAAGCTGAGTCACTGGCAACATCTTTGGGAACTCACTGAGAACTCAGGCTGAAGAGCACACGGAAAGGTCAAACATCATATGCTTAAAAAGGAGAAGAGGGTAGGTAATTATAGACCAAACATGCTCACATCTCCTGTGAAGATGCCAGAGTAAGTATTTAGCCAATACTACTGTAAGAATTGACGAGGACAGTATAATGGTAAGAACCAGCACGTACACCTTGGGAACTCTTCCTTCACAGTGCTAATGAGCTACGGTGAGGGAAGAGTAGCTGGGCATGACTCGATATATCTTCACATTCTTCAGCTGCCTGATTACTTTCCCTAGTTTGGGATCACAGAGTTACCCTCTAGAGTTCACAATAAAGCAGGACGTGCACGTAATTGATAAAATGATCCTCCAACAGTGATCAATAGCATTCTGTGGAAGAGTTTTAAATACAATCTGTGAAGAGAAGCTGACAGAGACTAGGTTCACACGTCATCAGTTTCCAGAAAGCGAAAACCAAATCTTTCAATACAACGCAAGTGTAAAGAGGGATGGTTTAACTTGTGTTCTTCATCCAGGAGAGAACAAGTAGTATTTGGCATGATTTGTAACGTTGAAGATTTAGAATAAATAATGAGAATATTTTTTTCAACTATTAATATAACCAAGCACTGTAACAGAGAGTAATCACTGGCAGTTTTAAAGAAGTATTTGTCTCATGTCTGTCAAGAATGGTCTGTATAGATTTGATTCTGACTCAGAGTAAGAGACTAGAGTTTTTGGTGTCTTGAAGAATGGCTTTTGCGTGTTTTTCTGCAATTGGCTATGTAATAACAAGAACACTATTGACCAAAGTCTTAAACTTTTTATTATTTCAGATTTACGCAAAGCATGACTTATCAGTGGTCTTTCATTGTGTTTTATCTTTCATGGCTATCCAGGCTATAAATGCTTTGCTACTCAGTTGGCTACGACAAACAGTAAACTGGGGGGAGGATTAATGGGAAGAGAAATGAATCCAACTTTCAACTTCATAATGCAGAAATTGTACTAGACACTGCTATTTCTTCTCTGGCTTCTTTAAAATGCAGTATGTTCTGAGTAAGTTCTATATTCATTCTATCTGCTACTTTTTTCCAACGTATTATTCACACAACTTCTGTATTTATATCCCAGTGAGCAAGAGAAATACGGTGTACAGGGCTCACCACAGAAATACATTCACATTTACCAACTTATTTTCAACTCACATCTTTTCAGTTTGTTACTTTTTGATGCAAAACACTATCTGTCTTGTCTGGCTATTAAGTGTCCTGATTTCACTGAAAGATTGAATGCTGCAATTTAAATGGAAGCACAGTAGCTCATTTGGAATCATAAGGCGTACAAAAATCCTATACTTTTCTTGGGATATATAAAATGCCACAAAATGTTCTTTTTGGGTTCACTTACTATTCTCTCAAATTGAGAAATTAAGGTTAAAAATTAGTAATTTTTATTTCTCAATTTCTTAAAACAAATAGCAGGAGAGTACTAATACAGTCGAGGGGGAAGTTGACTGCACAAAATACTTTATCCATATTTAACTTACCTAAAACTAAACAAACGCAGCTTTCCTAAACATAAGGACCATGTCAAAATAACAGAGAATCTAAGTTAGCAGCCTTGCCCTAGGAGAAATGATGCACTGAATCTAGACAAGCAGCTGAAGCTTGCACCTCACCTTATGCCATCTCGGTTTCAGCCCCTTGCTGCTTAACAGCCTCCAGAGGTACTTACACTCCTCGCTCTCCACTGCTGCATAGTTGCCAACTTCTTTGAAGCTGATGTTTCCCAAATGCAGTATTCCTGCCACTATCTGCAGCACCAGTGCCTGTTCCTCTGCAAAGATGCCAATCACACTCATTGCATGCTGGGAAGGGAAGGAAAAGAAAAACCAAAACCCAAATCAGTCAAAGAATCTGTTCAGTGACTCTTGTCACAGAACTCCTTTTAAAATTTTGATGTTAAAAATTTGAATTTTTCAACCCAGTTCGAATACCTGAGGCAACCAAATTTCATTACAGCTTGCATCGAAGCTTCAAAAGGCACCAGACGTCCTACTTCAGCATTTTTCTATTGTTTTAATTAAATACAGAAGCACCTACACCATTTAGAAGAGGTTAGCAAAATAAATTCTGGAAAAATTAAAGTTGCTAAAAACCAAGCACCTGCTCTTAAGTGTCATACTCAAAATACATACTTTCACTGCAAAATAGGAAACAATGAACTTACTTAGTGATTTTATTCCTTCCACACAGCAGACTAAGAACTGTGATGCTGTACTGAATGACTCTAAACAGTAGCACAGTCTGGCTTAGACTGTGAATTTCAGCCACTTACTAGAAAATAATCCAAAACAACACTGGGGGTTTGAGTCGAAAGCACATGATAACCTACAAAATGTCTTCTCAACTGGCTGGTTTTCTACAATACCAAATCAGCTAGAATACAAAAGTAATGATTTTTTTTTAAGCCCTTAAATGTGCTACCTATATAAATAAGAAAATGTGTTAATATGCTTATTTTAAATAGTAAATTTTAAATAGCAGGAGACCAGCGAGTTCACAGGACTTGCATAAAGGTCACGCAATGAATTAGCAACAGCACTCAATAAAGATCCCTGAGCTACGCTAAGTCCCTTTCCCCAGCCTTGCCGTGGCACTGTTTTAAATAGGCATGGAAGATCAGTGACCCCTAAGAACTCAGCTAAAACAGGGCACTCGTCTTTTCTTCTATCAGAAGCTCCTTACTCTGTTTGCATTTTCACATTTTTCATACTGCAGATTATATGCACTCAATTAAATTTCATTAAATTTGCACCCTTCTGAAAAAGGACAAACGGAAAACAAAATGCCTTTCCATAACGAGTACCTATCTTCTCAGGATTGTTAGGCTGCAACATAGGACTTCTTCAGGGTAACATACCTCCTCCTTGGGGTAAAAATATAATGAAAACCAGTTCTATCTACATTAAGTTCACATTCCCACACTAATACATCAAAGTCTTTGCTACAAATGGACAGAGAAATGAACACACATCCACCACTACGCAAATCCTAGAGTAAAAAACTCACCAGTGTTTCCTGGAAATCCGATTTGTCATTGATGTCATCAACTTTGTAGGATCCAGAGAGACTCAGATAGTAATAGTAGTCCATACTGGTAATGCCAAGACTGCTTTTTTGTTCCGAGGAGGCCCCTTCAATTAGCTGCAGATTAAAAATCTCCAAATTAGGTATCATACAGCAATCTTCAGGAGAGGTGAGGCAGGTCGGAAACAGGTGACTGAGCTTGAAATTACTGGGGGAGATATGGCTAGCGCTGCGCCAGGAACGCATCCTTCCTCTGCTTTCTTAACTGTTTAACACAAAGATTCTCATTCCCATTCCCACGAATGGTTTAGTTCTAACTTCCACATCTAATAAAAAGCAAGAACTGACTGGCCTGAATGCCTTTCATTATCTTTACCTCACAAAGAGAAGGCCAAACGTGTTTCCAATCTGCAATGTATTACCTAAATCCTCAGGAACAACCTGCTTCCCTTACCTGCTGACGGGCAGGCAGAGCTGACAGAACATACTAACTGACCTAGCGCTATCTGTGACTCCCACGGCGAGGCCAAGGTCCGTTATGCCCGTTCTGGCATACGTTAAGCAAGTGTTGAACTGCTCCAGTGCTGTGTTGATTTGAAGCAGGACTCCAGTCACACCTCTTTGCATCATTTAGGCCAAGAACAAGTAACAGAGCAGTTAAAAAAGGTTGCTGTACTCCATGACGCCAGAGGAGAGGCTCCTCGGTCCTAGGTAAAGCCTGCACAGCTGAGCACAGACACGGCTGCAGCAGGCAGGAATGAACAAACTAACCTCCCAAGAGCAGAGTCAAAACCCCATAGCCTTTGAACTCCTGTGTCAAAAAGCCTCTCCAAGCCACAGAGGAAAATCAGGGCAGTGCAGATTGTTCATGTACCTCGGAAGAGGAGAACGCACTGCTCCTGGAGCAACTGCAGCTCCAACTCGGCTTTCCATCCTGGCAATGGCACTGCAGCTTGACGTGAAGCTGCTCACAGTCGCTTACAACGCGCTGCCTTGACTCGAGTTTCGTAGAGCTCGACCAACGGCCCTTCAGCAGCCAAGGAACTCGCATGCCAAGGACCAGGGAAGGTCAGAGAAGCCTTTTGAAACCCAAAAAAAGCAGAGACCCTTGGAGGATTCAACAAATAGACACATCCTAGAACTGAGGATCCAATCTCTCTTTCACAGCTGTGCTATGGAATTCCAGAGCAGAAGGTACAATTATATATTTAAACAGAAATCTGTTGGGAAGTTCTCTTTTTCTATTATATTCTACTGGACTTTTCCATATGGGAGTTCACAACCAATTTCCGAGCAATGTCTTTGAAATATCGAAGTACCTTTGTTCTGGAGCTGAAAGGCAGCTAAGTAGGTCTGTTAGATGATGTCGTAACATGCTACCAAGCTTCCCAGTGATACCCAGATCACCTTCCTGAGGGTGCCTTCAGTAATCTCACTGTGTTGAGAATGGCTTTTCAACCAAAAGGAAAACCTCGTCCTAGTTATTTTAACTAACTTGGAAAGGACCTATACGCTTCTGACCTGGTAAAAAATGTGAAAACTCCTCTCTCCAGGATTCCTCATTACAACGCGAGATTTCTCCAGTAGGAAGTTGGAGATTTTCCCTCCATCTGGTTCTCCACCCGGGCTAAACTGGATTTCAAAATATTTCCCCTGCAATAAACAACCAAAACTGTTGAATGACCAGTAAATACAAACAAAATCATGCACTGCTACTGTATCTCAAGGAAGGTTACCAGGATATTTAGTCTTTATGGGTGCAGTGACACAGATGCCTCAAGGTACAACTTAAGCTTAGATTCTTGAACTATCACATCTCTTTCTTTCTTTCTTCCTGCATTTACACAGCACTAGACTCGGGGTAATACATCATGTGTTAATGCAAATGTAGAGAGGAACTCGGTGGCTTCCTTTCCCTGCTGAGACTCTTGCCCAGTGTAAAGGGAACCATAAGGCTCACCTATAGGGGAAGTACATTGAACAGATTTATGACCAACGGCAAAGACAGCGTTCTGCTTGGAGGCAAGGTAAAGCCATTACTTTTTGCTTTCAGGGAGACATGAATTGCATTAACACTCACACTGGTCGAGGAAGAAATCACAGATTCATAAAGCCTATGTATAACTCTTAAAAACTGAACCTGCAGCACGTTATCCAGCAAACAGTCATTTCACAATAGAATCGTGAGGGTTTTTCAATGACAGACTGAAACCAGTTCCTGCCTACTTGCTGTATGCATTAGTAAAGGCATTTCCCATGGAACAACTCTACGGATGGTTTTGTCTATTTTTTAAAAAAGTGATCAATTTCTTTTCTTAAACACCTATTACTGCACATTGTTTTACTGATCTGGAAACTGGCCGGTTTGTTGTTGGGAAGTCATCTGCTTGCAGACTGAACATTTTATAAATAAATTGTGACCAGCACATACTGTAAGAGAAACAAATGCACAACCTACGCAGAATGAAAGAGAGGCCTCTCAACATATACTTTGTGTTTTAAAGCACATTTTATGTTTTATTCAGATTTACCTGATTTGTAGTCAGTTTATATTATACTCCTGAATGCTGTAAGTTGGAAGGATAAAGTAATCTCTAAGGTAGAGGGACTTACAAATCTGCTAGAGTTGTTGTTCCGTACAGTTTTTGCATTCCCAAAGGCCTCCAGTAAAGGGTTGGACTGTAGAATAATATCTTTAACATGCTACAATTTTAGGAAACAAAAGAAATAGATTTAGAAATAGACATTTTCTAGAAAACCATGACATCTAAATTATATATTAAAAAAGCAAGAAAGCTGGCATCTGTAAGAAATCCTCTTGATCAGATAAGGAATAGAACCTAACAGTCTTTTTTTTCCAGAGCTTCTAGTTCTTATTTTTTTAAAGAAAACCCTACAAAACTGAACAAACTGCCTGAGGCTAAAAACGGCTCCTTGTGTTCACTGTTTTGCCAAGCAACACAGCCAATAAATTGATCTGGTTTTTTCCATCCTCTTGATTTTGAACAATTTCCTTCTTACACACTAGCATTTAAATCTTTTGGGGGGTCTGGAACCACAACCGGTGAAGTCAGAGCAGCATGAAATTCAGCAATCTGCAAGTGCTTCAGCAACCTGCTTTGGGACCGACGCCGCTGCTACCGAGCCGTCTTGGAGAGCTATAAAGTGTGTTACTGTTGTCTCTTATCTGATCCTAGGAGCTGGAAGCATGGACAAGGTGTTCACTTTGGAACAAACCCAACACATGCTGGGCTGTGATCAGAAGACTGAATTTTATTTCAAAATAAATACTCAAGGCAACTTACCAACTTTGTCAACTGTTACTCTGAAATCACTAAGAATAATTTTAAATTTTGTACAAAAAGCTGGCATCTTTTTAATAAAACAAAATATTTACTTATAAAGTATGGGTGTATTTATTCCAAAAATAACACAATGCCTACTTTCTCTGGATCATTGTCTTGGTTACTGAATTATTCTCTGCAACGCTCCCAGTATCACTGCTGTGCAAAACTAAGCAGAAAGAACATCCTCAACATCAGAGAATGCAATAAAGCAAAAAGTAACAGTAAGCACTCAAAAAGAGTGGACTAGTAAAAGCAGCTACTACCTATCTACCACTGCCTGTCAATGAATGACACTGTAATGTCATTAAGGAAAGTTTTACAGCTAATTCACTCCATTAGCTCTAGTTAATAGGTTTTGATAGATAGAGCAGACATCAATAATATAGTTATTAACAAAAGCAATTATTTGTTGTTTCAGCTAGCTTTCAGATACTCTGATTCTGACTAGACAACCTCAGAAAACAAGATGATGTTCCTGCCGTTGGCTCTCTGACGCACGCATACACGTCAGAGATTTAATGGAAGCAATAAAACCCCAAAAAGCCAGTTCAGTTTTCCATAGCATGCCAACACAGGAGGAAAAAACCACACGCCTACTAAAAGGAGACTGGTTGTTGCTCTTAATCTGGCTAAGGACAATAATAAAAAAGAATGCTCGTAGCCATAATGCAGCGGGAGAGCTACAGAACGTGGAGCAGAAATTACTCTTGGCCTGGGGATTTCCCTCAGACGGCTCCCATCGCACAGGCAGCCCAGCAACCTGCAAGCAAGCACTTCACGGTCCCCTTGGGCTGTCTCTGCTGCAGAGGGACTGCACTTATCTCCAGCAGCAAGCCTACAAGCGTCTTCAGCAGAGTCTGCCTTGGCTGCTGGTGTCTGCCCAGACCTATCTTTGCCAGTCTGCCTCTGAAGTAAATCCCTGGACTATCCTTACGCTCCAGTATTACCCTGTATCAACTCACCTGTACTTTAGGGCCACCTCCGGAAATTTTGGAGATGTAACTCATGATGTATTTAGCAGCCACAGTCTTCCCAGCACCGCTTTCCCCACTACAAAAAAAGGAACACACCAGAGTTAGTTTTTAAATAATTCTAGAACGGAGTAATTTGAGATTTATCTTGTTTGACCAAGACTAGGTATCTTAACAATGAATAATAGTAAATATGCGCCATATTTACGTCGGGCAAGCTGGTAATATATAGACTCTGATATAGTATTGTAGCATAGTCCTCAGATGTGTTTGTGAATAAGTAATTTTGAGTACATCATCTTGCATGGACACCAGACTCTCTACAGGACGTCAAAGTCAGAAAACTATGTAAGTTGAGAAATAAATATATTTAAAACAAGATGCTCAAAAGAGAACAAGTGTGTTAAGAACTCAATTACCACCTGAATTTAGTGGGATTTCAGCTCTTAACACAAAAACTCGTTCAAAAATGCAAGCTCTGAATGCCATGCCAGACACCTACTTAATTTCAGGAGTCTTTTGTTTTAGGTGTTCCTGAATGAAATAATGATACATTATTAATCACATCCTGAATGACGGAAGAACTACCTTCCTGTTCCTATGCCTCTTGACACAGGGCACAAGAAATCTTAAATCTTCCATGCTGGTTTTCACAATTCCTTCCTTCCGTTATAACATTTTACTTCAGTGGTGAATAATGTGTAGAACAGTAGATTTGCCTTCTCACGATTAGTGAGCTTCTCAAGAAGGAAAGAAGATTGGCATGCCAGACAACCCAATCTCATGCTTTATTTCATACCTTAAAGTAAACTTCATTTCAACAGAATTCCTTCAGACTTACATAAACCTTGGTGCAAGTCAGCTTTGACCTTAATGAATTTACCCTGACCTGGACAACTATACCAATAAAAAGAAACCCAACACACGGATGTTGGATCCATTTCATAAAGGTATTTGAAATATATTTTTCCTTGTCTGAAGATCTGTGCTATCTTTAAGCTCCTGAATAATTGCAGTGGATGTTGTTGACTCTTCTATCCTGCGCCTACTTGTGCCTGGATATGGATCAAATGTACATCTTTTGCTGCACAAATCTGAGAGACGCTTGCCAGAGAAACATCAGCATGTCCTGCACAGGAAGGGGACTGGCTGAGAACGTCAACTCACAGCTTCTTATCAGCATGGGTAATGGAGACATTTCCAAAGGTTTAATTCTGAAAAAGCTCCCTAAACTGCCAAGATGCAAATATCATTTTACACCTTTAAAGCTTCCAAACAGCACAAAAATACTCAAAGGCTTTTTTTTTTTCCTCCACCCCAGAAAGGTTTTCATGCTTTTCTCTTTTCCTGACTGCAGTTTTATAGAGCAGACAGGAAACCTGAAAAGGTAAAAAAATACTTCTTGATCATCTCATCGGCGAAGTGCGGACCACGGTTTCTATGATGCCAAGGCACCTTTTCCTACACGTCAAGAAAATAGCCTGTATTATTGGCTTCTGCTGCATTCACAGGGACAGAAGTTGCTGGGTGGCAAACTGTATTTACAAGTTCAGATCAGCAATAGTTCAATCATTAAAATAGCATTTCTTCAAAATTTGCTCGCAGTAGATTTGCTCATCCTGTTGTAAAACAAGACAGACAAATCACTCTCAACCAAATCATACTCTTCAGTTTATACACGCAGTTTTCAGTCCAATACAGAGGCAGATCCAGGGCCAAACACTGAATAAAGCTGATCGAGTATTATTTATCACACAGTGAAAAAAGTAACACACTTCTGTAAGGTTTTCCTTGATGCATAAATTATCCTTCTCCTCTTTGTTCAAAATAAGTGTGCCTTGTATTTCTCATTCCATCGTGTCTGCCATGGATATTAACCTGGAGGAATACAGCTGCATTTTATCGTTAGTCTCTATTTCAACATAAGTGGTCCTCTACACTAAATCCATCTGGCCGAAAGGCTGCCTTTCAGAGTTTGCTTTTGATTTATGCATGCATGCGATTTTTTTCAGGTTTATGCTTTTATTGACCACAGACTGCTAAATTGCTCCAATTAAACTAGAATAAAACAGGATGACGCATTATTTATGAACCAAAGTAACTTTATCTGATGGGATGGTATCTGGCCCCCAGTAGA